AGAGAGAGAGAGAGAGAGAGAGAGAGAGAGAGAGAGAGAGAGAGAGAGAGAGAGAGAGAGAGAGAGAGAGAGAGAGAGAGAGAGAGAGTCGGTTATACAGCAGACAGACAGACGGATAGAAATAGGGAGCAAGGAGGCCGGGGGGCAGACAGGAAGACAGCCGCATACAGACACAGGGAATTCAGCCACACCAGTAGGTAGACGTACATGTAGAACAAATAAAAAGGGGAAAGAATGGCACAGCATTCAACACAATTTATTTCGATTCAGGAAAGTTGAGTATACAGTGTGCAAGTCCTGCTCCCATCTGAGCACGGGCACAGACTCATTTATCACAGTGGGTTTCATAGTTCAGTTTCAAAGCATCATTGCCCTCGACGGCCTCCCTGGAATCTCGCTTGCATGCAAGGGGCTTGTGGGCCAGTCAGCTAGCAATTTGACGGAGGCCTAGGCTGGCTGTAAACGAAAACTTTGGCCACCAGCCTCCGCCTAAGAATAATATTTCAAAAGGCAACAGCCCATCAGGAAACAAGCATCGGGCCGTGTCGTTAACCACCGATCTTCAGCAGTTACAGAGTCTGTGAGACAACATCTTCCATATAATAGTTTCTGGGACAATTCTTTCTTTCCAGACCCAACAATCGATGGAAACTGTCACAGAAGGGGCCAGAACCTATTGTACAGAAACTACCGCCTCACAATGCACACTGTAGAATGCATCAAAACACACACTCGCTAAATTGCTAGTCTCAATGGATACTCCCACGAGCAAGTGTGTTTCAATGCACTCTACAGTGCGGTCATCTGTTTCATACTTGATATTAAACAGAGCCTACATAAGTCATTATAGCTTGAATCGACGGATACACCCCATTACCAAATATATCATGTTTACAATCCCGACGTCCGGACAGCAGTGCAGACAGTCTGTGCCTGGATGCCCAGGTCTGATGCCCGGTCCAGAGTGTCCGGATCCATCCCCTCGCTCCGAAAACGAATCCGACCTTAAAAAAAAAAACAGAAAAATCTGAAAAAAAGATATGTTATGCAGCAATGCAATACCATCTCGAAATTTGCAGCCAAATCCAGGCAAAAAAATAACAATGTTCTTTTTTTCTCTCAAAAAAAAGGGGGGGCTTTCAATCCAGACTCTCTGGAGCAGTCCAGGCACAGGTCCAGCCGGACGTCTGGACTGGTCTGGTGTAGGGGTTCTGTGTAACCATGAGATATATCCTTGACTGTGCTTTACATAATGTACAGTACTTAGGGCATACTCACACTAGGACGGTTTTACTTTTTTTTTTTACGGATGTAGTTTGGGTCAAATTCATCCCGGTCCGACCGTAAATGCGGTCAAATACATTCAAGACAACGTAGTGTGAGTACGCCCTTAGAAGGCACATTAGCTCCAACACCCTAAACCCTTAAGCACTACAAGACTTGCAGAGAGAGAATCTGAAGGGGAGGCAGAAAAAATGCTTAAAGACCAGATAGACGGATGTGGGTCACCCCTAGACCCTAAACCCTATGAGAGCAATACAAAACCCAAACGGGAGGGAGAGGAAATGGGTAAACACCAGACAGAGGGGTATTGTGGCATGGCCTCGTCAGCCTCGTCAGCTGCCGCTGTGGAGGGGTACGGGGAGGGGTACGAGAAGGGGACCTGAAGGGGTATTGTGGCACGACCCGTAAACCCTAAACCCTACGACATCAGTAGAGAACCTGAAGGGGATGGGAAGAAAACGACTGAGGACCAGGTGGAGGGGTACGGGTCACCCCTAAACCCTATGCCCTAAATGCTATGACGCCAGTAGAGAATCCGTGAGGGAGAGAAAACGACTAAGGACCAAATAGAAGGCTATGAGCTAACCCTGCACCATAGACCCTAAACCACTAAAGACCAGCAGAGAAGACAAAGTGGAGGTAGAGAAAACGACTAGAGACCAGATACAGGGGTACCCCTAATCCATAAACCCTAAACCCTATGACACCGGTAAAGAAACTGCAGGAAAGGGAGAAAAAAGGATTAAGAAACTGAATGAAAGGCAGAAAAAATGACTGAGGACCAGATAGAGGAGTACAGCCTTCCCCTACATCATAGACCCTAAGCCCTGCAAGACCAGTACAGCTGCTGAAGTGAAGGTAGAGAAAACGACTAAAGACCAGATACAGGGGTATGGGCTAGCCCTAAACCATAAACCCCTAAATCCCATGACACCGGTAAGAAACTGAAGGAAAGGGAGACAAAACAACGAAGGACCAGATACAGGGGTGCGGCCTTCCCCTACACCATAGACCCTAAGCCCCACAAGACCAGCAAAGCGCCTGAAGTAGAGAAAATGACTAAAGACTACAGTCTTCCCCCGAATACAACGCACGGTCATTATAGCTGAATTTAGACTGAAAGATAGCCCAAATTCAGCTATAATGACCGTGCGTTGTATTCGGGGGAAAACTGTAGATACAGGGGTATGGGCTACCGCTAAACCCTAGGAGAGGGGTAGCCCAACAACTACCCGTTGGAAAAGCTGAGGAGAGAGACGTCAAATGGAGGGAGACAGGACGGCTAAAGATCAGAGAGAGGGGTATGGGATACCCCTAAACCATAGACCCTAGGTGACCAGTTCGCAGCCCATCAGGGGTTCATTTTTATACCCCTGAGTCAATTTTGTCGTTCTTCGTTATACCGGTCGTCCGTTCAGGTCCAAAGAGTAGTTGGAAGGGTGGTGATTTTGCTGGGGGGGCAATTCATGGAGAACGGACAGTTGTTGCTTGCAGAGGACAGGTAGCTGCCCGTAGGAGGCCGATGAGGCCGTGGTCCTTGAGTTATAACATTTTGAAATCGAAACGGCGTGGGTCCACTTTTCTCGAATAGATGGGTACCTCGAATAGACCATGTATGTGTTGTATTTGAAAACAACACGTACCTTTCCTATTCGAAATTGGAAAAGAAAAAATATTGTATTCGAATAGAATATTACCTTTTCTTTTCTTTTTTTGAGGTTAGCGCCTGCCCGTGTGCTCCCTGCCACTGACATGCTGCATGCTGCAGGGCTCTCTGTCTCTCTGTCTCTCTGTCTCTCTCTCTCTCTCTCTCTCTCTCTCTCTCTCTCTCTCTCTCTCTCTCTCTCTCTCTCTCTCTCTCATGCACGCACGCACGCACGCACGCACGCACACACACACACACACACACACACACACACACACACACACACTTTCTCTTTTTTTTTTTCCCAAAACGTTCTGCTTCAGCCTACTAGAGGGGTGATATGAGCACCTCCCTATAGTGGACTTACGACAGAATGCTCCTGTCTACTAGTGGGGAGCTGCACGTGCTGAAAAACGGGTCCAGTGTCCCATGCACCTTGTGAATAAAGCACCAGCCGTGACCCCACAGACACACACTCTTAGAGTTGTGTCTAGCGAACATGACAAAACATAAACACAGCATAATCACTACCTTACGCCTCCCCAACCACATCAACAAACAAACTACAGGCTACACACCTGTGCCTTCACGGTAAGTCAATATAAGAGAGGGAGAGCAAACGACTATCTATTGGAAACGCTGAGGTAAAAAAAAACAAAAAACAAAAACAAAGGGTTAACACTTACTAATCACAATATTTATAAGAACCTACACGCATCTCTCTCTTTTCTCTTCATTTTTTTACACCCACAACACACATCTTTCACAATGAGGATTTCTTTACTTGCTCACAGAATCCACATATCCATGCTCAAATCTGCACAAGTGAACTGTAGCTTCACACATATAGGGGTCCCAAAACATATGTACTGAAGATGTATACGGTTGTGTAAGAAGACACATAGACAACTTTGGAAGGTAAGCCGATGGGGCTCCCCTGAAGGCTGCAAAAGCCCAAACAAACCTGCAAAGGCCACCCGGAAAAAAAGGCTGTGAAGGACACCCGAAAAAATTGGCTGTGAAGGCTATGTCATGTCAGATTTGACACAACATAAAAAAACAAACAAAGGTATGAGGCAACAGGACCCTATTAAATGGAAAATGAAACAAGAAGGGCCTCATACACCAATGCTACTAGATTTTCCGGTTGTCTGGACAGGCTGGGGTTGAGAGGCAGATGTCAGAGGAAAACGCTGTCTCTTTAGCAGGATTTTGCAGCAAATTTTCTCTTTTTTTTGCTGCTCTAAGCTGCGGAGCTTATTTATTAGCCCTAATAGGAGTAGTAACCAGCGTTATTCGTTGCTTTTATTATATACATATTGTGAAAGTCAATGTATTTTGAAACACCTTAGTCATTTCTTAACCGAGGGGTGGGGGGTGGGGGGGGGATCTTCAGTGTGTGTCAGACAAAAGTTATTCATACAATGTTTTGGCACCTCCCAAAACTTTGAATTTCTGGTCTTCTTTTTTTGTTTTCTGAATTTCATCTTGATAAAAATGCGGCATTGGTACAACCGAAAATGAGCCAAAAATTCGGCGAAGAAACAATAACGAGTGTTGGGAGGGGGGGCAGACGTATGCATACTATGCATACACGCTAGGAATACGTTGAGGGATAAACAGTGTTTAAAGTTTAAACACCGCATCCAAACAACTCCAATTACATAAGGTTATTAAGGTACAAATTACTACAAAAAACATCAAAATTCTGTTCTGTAACTTCTGTTCAAATTGGCCAACTTTTGGCAAGAGGGACAACGGGGGGAAAAGAGGAGGAAAAGAACAAAAAGAGAGCTTAGCAGTAAGCATTCGATCATTGCAAAGACACGTTTACCAGCCAAAGGGTAAGCTCAAGGAGCGAAGCCGAGCATGCCCAATCAGTCACCACTGACCTGATTGAGCGCCCTCAGACGTCCCCGCACAGCAGCACCTCCTGCTGACAGCTGCACCTTCCTCTGCCATCGGTCAACAGACTTATTTCGGTATGGCACAAACCTGTAAAACAACATCGTCAAAAAAAGTGACAGTTCGCTACAGAAAAGAACTGCGCTCGTTGTTTCAGAAAAAAATGTTTTTTTTTTTGCATGATGTCAGAGGCAATCAATGCATGGCTGGCCATTTCTCTCCCATCTGTGAAACTGCCATCTCACCAATGCATAGCGGTATGGAGTCTACGGACATATTTCTTTTTTTCCCTTCCACATTTTTTCCTTTTCTTCTTTTTTTTCACCTTGAAAGTTGAAGCAGGTCCTTATGGTCCTGGCTCCTTGTCCATTCTGGGGAGCCACAGCCAGGTTCCAGTCCGCCCGCAATTTCTCTCTCTCTCTCTCTCTCTCTCTCTCTCTCTCTCTCTCTCTCTCTCTCTCTCTCTCCTNGAAGAAGCCTGTCGTCATGTACGAGTACTTCGGAGAGGTTTTTTACATCCCTTTAGGAAACAACAAACCAAGCCCCATAAGTTGTCCATTGGTCACCTCGTGGCCTGCCCCTGCAGGTGCGCCTCATAAGAAAATCTGGTGTTCATACCATCCTCGCTGCTCTGCTTCAGCGTCCCTTACAGGTCCGCTGGACATGGTCTGATTTTCTTTTTTATCTTCAATTCCGTAAGAAATTCTCAGGTTACCCTCCGCCAAAAGTCGTTTGCAGCGCAATTCTACACAAAATATTCTGGGTTTTTTCAATTTATTATTATTATTATTATTATTATTATTATTATTATTATTATTATTATTTATTTGCACTGGGGCCGCCCACGACCCCGCCCGGAGGTCCTGCCCGGCTGGGCAGTCGGACGTGTGCCTGGGCACAAAATTTGCGCCTGGGAGCATGGGAAAGCAACCCACGGAACAAGCCCCGCTTTTCTGAAATTGTCCTCTATTTTCGGCTTTTAATTCTCTACTTCTTAAGAAAAGATTGGAACATGAATCCATCCATAGAGTTCAGCGGCAACAGACTGCACTACCCAGCACCACCACCCCAACGCCGGAGCCCAGAATCCGAAAATCCATGGAATCACAAGATGCTGATATTTTGGGACAGCAGCAGGTTAGCGTAGACCAAGTCTGACAATACGATGCGTAGCCTTCGCGGAAAGCCTGGGAGAATTGCAGCATGCTGCCTGAGCATACACTGTGAGCCCCGACAACTGTGCAATTGCAGGTGTAGACAGGGTCTGACAATACAATGTGGTGCGTGCCTAGGAGAATTGCAGTATGCCCGCCTGAGCATACACTGCGAGCCCCGATAACTGTGCAATTGCAGGTGTGTGCGGCGTATTCATTGGTTCTCATATACAACTATTGACATATCAGTGACATAACCTTCATGTCTGCTGGATTGTCCGACAGGAATGCAACAAGCATGACAGGCGCAATGAGATCTGCACTTGGATTGCAGAGCACTCAATTGGACGCCTTTGCTTCCAAGCGGTGGTTAATGGAGGCCTGAATTTTCAGCAATTGTCATTGCATTTATAACAAAACCAAAGGTCTTTTTAACCCGACTTGCCACATACCCATAGCGTGGACACCATATTAACTAACAGCAACACACACACACACACACACACACACACACACACACACACACACACACACACACACACACACACACACACCTGTCTCTTATACACATCTAGTCTCTCTCTCTCTCTCTCCCTCCAACAACCCCCCCCCCTTCCTTACATAACAGAACTGTCTCCGTGGTTCCCTCCATCCAGGCCAAACAAACCCTGATCAGCATTGATTGCTCCTCAAAGGATGATTCACTGTCAGATAGCCTGTATCTCTAAGTTCCTCTCAATCTCCACATGCGCTGCAACTGTCATCATGCCGTGCATGCTCAGAGCTCTTTAAGTACAAACACTGATCCACCCTGGTTAGGGTGTACTGGTTCCTCAGGGAGGTTTAGCGGATCCCAGCGCAGACCATTTCAGGCTCGTCCGACTGTGTTATTGTGTGTCCTGGTTTGATCGCTGGCCGGCCTCACTGCACCCTACCGAATCGTTCATCTCAGCGTATTGTCTACGATATTTGCTACCTCGCCCCACAGCAGCCAGTCCTTGTAGAATGCTCTCTTCTTAGTCCTGCATTTCTCTGGTTTGAGTTTAGCTGTGAGCTTAATTGAGCTCCATCTGCAACGGATTTCCGTGTCCACCGTTTGAATAAGAGAATACCATACTTCCTTCCTCCCTCCCCGTCACCTCTTTGTCAATTGTCTGAGCGCAACTTTTTCGCTTCCACTGAACAGGATCGCACATGTGCATGCACAGTTAGATTCAACTTCCAGAAACTGACCAGGATCGCACCTGGACATGGACACGGATTGGCTGAGGATTTCCCTTGTCTGACCATCATATTCGAAATACAAAATCTCCTCTGAGGGGCACTCAATAAAGACAGGACTTATGCTCGCAATTCAATCGGCAAGCAAACTCAGGACGTATCTCACAATCACCGACGAGAGACCTGGACCAGTGTGATCGGCTCCCGGTATTAAAAGTTCACAAGTATTGTGAGACACTCAAGACATGACATTCGATGGAGTCATAAGATTAGTTGTCAAGGGTTCACAAGTGGTTAAAGGGGACCCCCACTTTTCAGCTCTTGTGTTAACAGCTCCACAACTGAAACCAGGGGTTGGGGGTCAGATTTCAAGTTGTTGTTGTTTTTTTCCCACTCCATGAATTGGTGGCAAGTTCGATTAGAATTTGATAAGAATGGCCTTTGGGTTTTTCAATAAATGACGTGACAAATTGTCTGAGAATTTAGGCCTCCGCTAACCATCTCTCGAAGGGTTAGAAATCAGAATGCATCTACGGTAGATGAAGTCATAAGATTACCATCTTCACCCGAATAGAACGCCCGGTCATTATAGCTGTATTTGGCAGAACTTCCAGTCTCGATACAGTGATAATGACCGGGCGTTCTATTCGGGTGAAGAGGGTAGCGCTCTAAGTATGGAGGGTTAGAATGCCTGTACAGGGATCAGGAGGGAAATTCAATGCATGTGAAGGCATCCTGAAAGAGCGAGAAGATGTACCATACATATATTGTCACATATCTATGAACTGGACGGGCGGGCTCGGAAGACAAACATGAAGAGCACATTGAAACCATTCATTTTTCTCATTCTTCTTTTAACTCCCCCTTCCCCGTGCCTCTCACGTACAAGGCTCACCATGTTGATGAAGTTGAGCACGAGCTGTCCGTATCCCCATCTGCCATAACGTGCAATGCAACTACTTCCAGCAATTGTAACACATGCCACAAGTCCGTAGCACGAACTACCTCATGCACATGTACGACCTTGATGTGGTCAGTAAATGGGTCATGAGGTTGTGCTGTGTACTGTGGACGGGTATGCTGGGATTTGCAGATGAGGCATTGGGGTTCTCGAATGTCTGCTGTCATGTCAGCATTGGAGACATTGTTGTGCAGCCATTGCAAAAGGCGCACCCGCCATGCTGGTGTCGCTTGCTCAATATCAGCCTTGACTCGACACCAGTTACCCAAAGCAGCTTCAGTGAGAAGGCGATGCAGTGAGGTACGAATTATAAGTTGGGGACCCAGATGAAGATCTGTTGCAAATGACCTAGCCAAAGGTGTTGGCAAAAGAGGTAAACGGTGAGGGGGTGTCGGTAAAATGGGTGCAGCATGAGAGAGCCAGCAGGTGTTGGTAAGAGGGGTGCAGCGTGAGAAGGATCAGCTAATCAAGCTCAGCGCATAACCGCTGGTAGGCGATGCCCGACTCACATTCTAGCTTGTCTGTCTGCATATGTGTGCTTGTATACATGCAGGTAAAAAAAAATTGATGAGAGAGAGAGAGAGAGGCAGGAACGGACGGAGCAACAATAGATGTGGTAGGGAGGGAAACAGGAAGAGCTGAGGTCTGAGCAGGTCGAGGGGGCCGAGAAACAAAGGGACGGGGCCTCATTTATGTCCAATGACGAGGGCAGAAATGTCGTCATGGAGACAGCAGTCTAGCCATTGGAAGGACTGCATTGAAACCGACGGGGTGAAGAGTTTGAAGTTTCTGAACCCACAAACCCTCATGGGGTTGCAGCAGCCCGCCGAAAGAGGGCATGATCAATAAGACCTTCAGACGTACGATAAAGGGTAAGGATCGATGCGTTCCGAGGGCCAAGCCGCAAATTTGAATGCTGGTTGCCTACACATTGCACGGTAGAGATGGCGATGGCAAAGGCAGCAGAAGAGTACCGTGTATGCCAAATTGCCAATGCTCTTGCAGCCGTTGATGTGAAGAATGCATCGTCTGTTCCAACATAAAAAATGTCCAGAAGGCAAATAAACAATTGCATAAAAAATCACTCCTTGAAGAGTGAGGGGGTCCATACCTGGTTCAAGGGGTTGTTGATCAACACCTTGCATTTGGAACTCAAATCGCTCTGCTTGCACAACAGTGTTAAGATGACAAAGTTTGTTTCTTGCGCCACCTCCTGTATATATATCTTCAAACAGAACTGCCTGGTAGACCTTAGGCAGAGAGGGAGAAAAGGACAACAAACGAGGGGCTGTGACAAATTGTTTCGTCGGAGTTTCGGTTTACTGCGCAGTTCTGTTTGATGATATATATGTGCAGATAAATATGGTCAGCTCAGGACGTTCTGAGATCTGCAGGCTCTACAAAGGATGAGCAAGGTAAGAGTGAAATAAGGGGTACAGGAATCAAATTGCGGACTTACAAGTGGTAGTTCTCGTCTATTTGCTGCCAGAGAGCGTCCACCGTAGCTCCATCTTCTTCCGCACCTGGCATCACCTCCCCATCGGCTTCTTCTCGTGGTCTCTTCAGTCCATTACCTGCCACAACACCCAAGTATCATCAAAAAGCTCTCACGTTGAATATCTCAAGCAATTTTTGTCACTTTTTAAAGGGGTCAGCCCCTAACCTTCTGATCTGCATATTAACAGTCAGGTGTGTAGACGCACTGTGTACCATTCAGCCACATGGCGGTAGCTGGAGTTAATTACGCCAATGGATAAAACAAAGCACTTCAACAGTTTGCCCATTGTCGTTCTCTAATGCTCCCCTTGCTGTATTAGAAATAAACCAAGAAACGTAGCTACTCTGTTGACATGCAATCCCACCAAGCTGATGAACTGGAGTGCAAAGCGAACCTTTCCCCTATGCCATGATACGTTCCCGAATATTATGGTCCCATAACAATATTCGTAAGCCACCTACGCATGGCTCCCTGATGAGAACTACACAGAACAAGGAATGAAGGGAGAAGAGTGCAAACCGCACAAGCACAATGACGATCACAACAAAGAAAACAATGACAAGTCGACAACGATAAAGACGAAGACGAAGGCGAAGATAGAAGAAGACCACGAAGATGAAGAGAAGAAGAAGACACAGATGAAGAAGAGGTTGCCGATGACGATGACAAATGACAACGCTGATGCCAATGCCAATGGTCATATGATGATGGTGGAGGAGGAGGTGGAGGAGGAGGAGGAAGAGGGAGAAGTAGCTGGAGGAAGGAAGGGAAAAACAGGGATGGCAATGTCGAGTTCGACCTGTTGTTTAGGAGTGGCTTTGTTCATTCCCTAAAGCACAAGGCATGGCAGACAATCTTACACATAAGCGGATCAAAAAAGAAGAACCAATGAGAATCAATCATTACCTTCTGGTTTCCCAAGCCTGTCAAAGTCAGGCCAATGTCAGGCCTTGGAGCTGGCTGAAGGCCCCTCCCAAAACGAGTTCGATGTAAGACCTTGCAGCTGTGGCTGAAGCCCTCGCAAAGTAAGTTAGGCCAATCGATGTAAGGCCTTCTAGCTGGTCCAAAGTAAGGCCACAAAGCTTTTCGAAAAAGCGTGGGGGAGGTTTCAAGTCCCAGGACCTTTTTTTCCATCCTCTTTTCTATTTATCATGTTCTAAAAAGTTTTTTTTCACTTTTTTTTTTCATTTTCTGTGATGCAGCACCATCTTTTCTGTTTCTTTGCAGGTTGCACACCACTGGACCTAGACAATTACTTTTGTTTTCCTCTCCACCTTCACTCTTGGGCCGGATTCATGAAGAGTTCACTGACCAGATAGAAGTCCGGATGGTTCCAATCAATAGATTTTTTAATCATTGTATTTTTTGAATTATTTTCCCTTTCACTCTTGGGCCTGACCTCCACCAAATACACATGCTGGTTTGCTAACGCGGGGGGGGGGGAGGAGGAGGAGAGTGCGGGAGGGGGGGAGAGGGAATGGCAGTTTGCTGGAAGAGATTCTCGGCTTGTGACTGCTTACTCTAGTGGCTCCAGGGCTAATCTACCAAGCCTGAGGATAGCTACCGTACCAGTTTCTGGTACAGTTCAGCGTCGGAAAATCCGGGCCTACCGTCTTCACCCGAAAATAACGCCAAGGTGTTGTATGAATATATAGCATCTGGCGGGTGTTATATTCATTTATAACGCCCGCGCGTTATATTAAGTGAACTGGTAGCAACTTCGGTGGGAACCCAAAATTTACAAAAAAACAAAACAAAACAAAAAAAAATGTAAACAAAATATGTTGTCGAGAATCGCAATGCAACCAGCTATCCGCTGAGGGTCACTTCAGAAACGTAGCTAGAAAAGAAGAAAAAAAATCAGACAGAAAAGACGAAAAAAATCAAACAAAAACATACCCCTGGGAAGTCGAAAGTTAAGACTCCAAAGAGTCAAAACCCCTTTCAACCCCCTTCAAAACCCATGTATACCCCCCCCTTTGCCCCCATCCTCCCTTTCTCCCCTTTAAAACCCATGTAAACTCTGTTTACAAGGCCCTCTGCCCATGCCACATCCAAATGTAACGCCCCGGTGTTCTGTTCGAAAATAACGCCCGGGTGTTCTACTCGAATATAACGCCTGGGCATTAGCCCAGGTGTTCTATTCGAATATAACGCCCGGGCATTAGGCCAGGCGTTCTATTCGAATATAACACCTGGGTGTTAGCCCGGGCGTTATATGCGAAGGCCGCATTATATTCGAGAAAAGGTGAGTAGAAACAAAAATCTGTTTTTTATAGGGTAAGTACTAAGTTGAATATAACGCCCGGGCGTTATTTTCGGGACACTACTTCGCAAAAAAGTGGCCCCTCCCAGCTACTAGTGGTGGTTTGACGCCCAAGTCCTGACTTTCCCCGACTCTAGCCAACAGCAAAAGGACTGACGGACAGGTTTTCGACCCTCAGCTCAACTAACAGTTTTGGCTGTTTCCGTTCAACACTGGGTTAATCATCCTCTCTTCTCTTTTTTCAGAACAAAGCCTCTGATGAGTCCGATCTATGTTGGTGGGGCTAATTTTCTGTTCTTTTTTTTTTCTTTTTCTTTTTTTCATATTCTTTTTTTCCCATCAGGGGCCATGCTAATCTTCTCAGTATCGTTCCAATTTTAATGGATGTCCCCAAGGACACTGATCCTGTATTCTCTAATTCCAGAGAGGTGCATTTGTTGCACCATGAAGCAGTTTGAAGTACACGACTAGTAAACGACGAGGACCATCCACCCACTGCAATACCCACTTACAACTGGCAATCAAATTGAAAGCCAGATCGACCAGTGCCCTTAGTTATCATAACAGCCATAGCCAGTTTTTTTTTTGGGGAGTGGGGGGGCAGTCTTTAAGCAGGGGAAAGACAGAATTTAGAAACTCACTGCCCCCTTTTTGTTTTCAAATTGCACTATTTCGGTAGTATTTCCCAATTTGTGTGCCATCCCTACACAGGCGACCATGCTACTCTTCTCTCTGTATTATAATTGCAATCAGACTCACTTTCATTCACACTTTACATGCATGCAAACAGGTTGCGCAGCAAACTGGCGACAAGCGCCCACTCAAACTCAGAGATATGGTAACCAAGAACACAGTTCTGATACACTCTCACTTCAGATGGCTATGGTGGTACATCGCCGGTACAACTCTCTGTTCATCACTTACTCAACACCACTGTTCGCACACAGGATCACCCTGGATATCCCACACGCTTCACTCTGCATACTCGTACACACCTGCACACACCTACAGCTATGGCGGCTATGGCCGCTGCTACCCTATCGCTATGGCTAATTTCCTTCTCGCCCACTTTGTCCTCGGGCTCACTGCAGACCACCTCGCACAAGTCGCTATGGCAGCGCATCCTCCCGGTACTGGATCGGAGCAGACCAGTATTGGATGACTCACCATTAATTGATTGATTGATTGATTGATTGATTGATTAATTGATTGATTGATTGATTGATTGATTATCTTTTCCTGCACTCTGTTATCATTAAAATCGCAAGTTGCAATTTTTTTCTTTTCGTGCATTTTCGTAGGATTAGGATGTTCAAATTTCGGTTTTGTGACTTTTCTTAATCTTGCGCAATTAGGAATTACCAATTACGGGTAAACCTAATTAGCGCTAATTAGGGTTAGTCCTAATCAAAAATTTAGGTTTTGCGACTTTTTCCCGAATCACGCAGTTAGGAATTCCTAATTACGAGGTAAAACCTAATTAGCGCTAATTAGGGTTAGTCCTAACCTAATCTAAACGACCTACCTAACCTATCGAGAGTAAGTGCCAGCCAGGCACCGCGCCAAGCAAGGCTGATCGGGCCTGAGCTAGGCCATATGCGAACTGCAACTTCACGGAACTTTCACTTTTTACAAACTGCATATTTTTGCAATCGAAAGATTGAATCTTTCCAGCGAATTGTGTATCTTCCTGCTAGCTATCATCTCTACTATCTGAAGTGACCTCGTGATGATGCTAAAACTGCCGACGAAATTTCGTAAAATTTTCAAAAGATATGTCTAAATGTTTAAACTTGCGTAAACTTATTCATTTCTTTTATTGATGCAAATCTAAAATATTTCGATTACATATTTAACCTTTGTGAATAAACGGTTGCAAAGTTAAATATTTCGTTAATCAGGTATTAAATCTTTTTGCCAAATTAAATTTTATTAATTCCAAATTTTTTCGATTAAAATTTTATTTAATTTTCCAAAATTCAAAAATTCGTTCGGGGGGGAAAATTTTTTCCTTTGATCAGTACCAGACTTCGAGGTCCGGGGACACAGGGACTGTCTGTGCATTGTGTGCCTCTCTGCCCTTCCTCCCCACCCAACCTTCTCTTCTTCTCTTGGTTCTACAAACTGCAGTCTCCGGACACGTCAGCAGAGGTGCCACATCAGCAGAGTGACAGGTCAGTACAGTGACACATCAGCAGAGGGACACGCAAGTGCCACATCAGCAGAGTGCCACGTCAGTACATTGCCAYGTCAGCAGAGTGCCACGTCAACAGCAACGTGCAGCCGGACACTAAATGCGCCGCAGCCTACGATTGGCAGAACGCGAGTCCAAGGCAGCCAAGCCCCAACCGGGACCCAAGGCA